GTGGCATGTCCATTGTTGTACCGCCACTAATGTTTGTGCGTATTTGATATCGTAAGATAAAATGTCTTAAAAAATAACTTGGAACTGCCCTCCGTCCACCCTGTCTTCCATCATAAATTTGAATGATTTGTTTGTTTTCCATTGCTTATGGTGGCATGCCATTGCTTATGGTTTGAGCTGGTTAGATGGGTTTCAATTCAGCAATGGCAAATTGACCCAAAAGCTAACCAGCATTAGCATGGCAAATAAACAAATCATTCTAATTTAGGATGGAAAATGGGCTGAATCGAAACCCATCTAACCATAAGCAATCGACACCCATCTAACCGGCCCAAACCATAAGCAGTTGAAACCCATCTAACCAGCCCAAACCATAAGCAGTTGAAACCCATCTAACCGACCCAAACCATAAGCAGTTGAAACCCATCTAACCAACCCAAACCATAAGCATTGGCAAACCGACATAAAAGTAAACAACCATAAGCATGATTACATTTAATAACTGTCGGAACCTAATGCTTCAGTTGTCATTTAATAGATGACATTTCACACCAACTATTTGGATTTATTAAGGAGGAACACTCACACCATCCAGAACTTATCTCTGGTTTTATTTGTACAAATTTAATTCACTGTTGGTTATATGTATAGCTATTACAAACACTCCTACGTATTTGTGTGATAATTTCTGTTTTATCAATGTATCTATATTTTTGTTGTGTTGAATAATTCTGAACGGCTGGTGCCTTCTGGTGACTTTTTCTACTCCAACTGCATACCAGTTTATTGTATTATATTTATGTGCATTATAGTAGGGAAATTTGTGACAGCTATTTCTGTTAGTTAAATGTAAGTAGTGATGTTTGATGTGCATGAGGCAGGGTAAGCCTGAATTTCTGAAATACTTGCTGACAATTATATTTTAAAGATTTTAGAGCGTCGATACAGGATTGTATTGTTTTATACTGGTGTATACATTAATACCACCATGTATTGATACAAAAATTTGTGAAAAGGGAAGCTACTCCTTGAAAACCTGGGAGTTGCGTGGTAGATTTGTCTATGATGTGACCAGTAAATGAACATGTTCTGTTATCTATGCATAGTTTGCAAGTGGTCACCCTGCTTGTGGGTTTTCTACAGGTTCTCGGGTTTCCTCCCCTTGTTTAAAAAAACACAGAGCACAAACAAATTTTTGTAATCAGAGCATTACCATGAAATGAACTGGATTACAGAGAATGGATGTTGAGCTCAATTTTTAGAAATGTATTTTCTGAAAAATAAGGGTTGCACATTGAAAAGAATACTGGTAAATGACTTTCAGTAGTCATAAATTCCTCTGGTTCCGTGCCAGTTTACCATAATGTTTTCCATGTGAAATGAAGATAAATCCAATTCAAAGCCACTACTACAGATAGTACTACTTCACTGCTCTAAACCTGTATAACTGTTGGTACTTGAACTCCCAAAGGTAGCCTTATGGATCACACAATCAATAGCCATTATCTTAAAAGCATGTATTTAGTATTCTTATTGACTGACGCCATTCTACTAGTTCTTTTTATTGACAAAGAAGAGTAACTGGTAATTGGAAATATGTAAATTTTAGATCAACACTTTGGTACTTTAAGTAGAATGAACATGTTGATGTATTCAAGTTGTTTTATTCCCTCTTGATCCCTAAATCAATTTCTAGCTTCTACAAATGTCATTAACGCTGGCTGAAGAAGTTCATCTGCTTTTCTTTTATTAAATGTGTGGTACAATGCAAGGGAAATAACTCCATTTAAACATGACTCGATTTTCTTGTTGTGCAAAGGCATGGATACTTATGTCAAGTCATAGTAGCCTTTATGCAAAATCATACATTGTTTTACAGAAATTCTTTAGAAAGAATGCAAACAGAAACTGTGTTTATGCATAAAACAAACTGTATTCTTCTAAACTATTTCTTCCTTTTTTACGGGCACGCGCTCAATCAGTTTATTGTCCTCCGCCACACTTTTTGTGACACAATAACTCTCCTTCTGATTGAGCTAGAATGTTCAAACTTTGTGTAGGGTTTTATTAGGTTATTGACGTGATGGAGTTCGAAGATGAGCATTTTCTGCTCAGGGTACGTACAGCGATTGGTTGAGACTTTTGATTCTAAATGAGTGAGAGTGGTGAAACTTTGTGTATGGTTTCATTACGTCAGTACCTTGATGAAGTTCGATGATGGGCATTTTCTGCTTAGGCAAAGTAGAAAATTCAATCTGATTGGTCGAGCCTTTGGAGCACAATAGCTCTCTTTCTAATTGTTCAAACTTAAAGATACATTATGTAATATTTAGATAAAGAGCTAGCCATTCTTGCTATAATAGTTCAAAAATAGATAATGTAAAATGAATAATTTGAAAATTTTATTTAAATTACTCCATTACGAGGGAAGATATTAGCCTTTGAAGGTTTGACAAGACGTGCAATAATTTCAACCATCGTATTGGTTGTTCGAAGCTAAGTCTTGCTCCTCCATTTTTAGATTAAATCAAAATATGGCTGAACTGTTCTAATCTATTTAATATCAGAGAAATCCGATGCCATCAAGGGTTGATTATGGCCTGGATAAGTTAATCAATGTCTAATTAATAATTTAGATAACATTTTAAGCCTAAATAAGACCTGCAATAGACAGATTTAGCTCTTGTATAATGTTTGTTTAATGTAGGTGTCTACTAGGTGAATACCTGGACAAAGTTCGTTCATGCACATTTTCCACTAAGGCTAAGCAGAGATAAGCATTTTGATTGTTTGAGACTTTATAAAATAATAACTTTGGTCCATAATGGGTGAGAGTGATGAAACAGAAAATAGATTGATTATATCAAAACCTTGACTAAGTTCTAAGTAATTTAATTGGTCAAGATTTTGGAACATAACAACTCTGCTTTTAATTGAGGTAGAATCTTTAAATTTGGTGTAGATGTTCATTAGGTGAATTACTTCACCGAGTTCAATGATTAACATTTTCTGCTAAGCAAAGCTAAGCAGAGCTAAGCAGTTTCGTTGGTCTTTGATTCTAACTTAGTGTAGAGTTTCACTACCACATACCAAACTTTGACTGAGTTCGATTGGGAACATTTTCTACTTAGAATAAGTATAGTGATGAAACTTAGTGTTGGGTTTCACTACCAGAAACTTAACTGAGATCAACTGTGAACATTTTCTGCTTAGACTAAGAATAGATAATCAGTTTTATTGCTCGATACTAAGTACCCCTGAACATGTTATATAAGAGCGCACTATAAATATGCTGTAATAATAATAATAATAATGATAATATGCAATTAATTAATATGTGTCATTTATTTAATTTGGAGTTGTGGTTTGGGGACATCAGCCTCATTGTTGGCTTGTTACTCATCAGCAGGCATCGATATTTCCACGCACGGCATGCGCAGGCACATTTGCTTTAAAAAAACTTTTTTGCAGGCACATTTTTAAAGATGTAGCCACGCGCCCGGCACTATTTTTTGCCGCACAGCACAAAGAAAAAATCGAAGAAAGCCGCCCAGTTGTATTTAAACCCTTCGTCCTTCTCTGTACACAAGAAACTTGGCGCTCGAAATTTACCACGGCAATTAAACGGCAAAGCCATGGTAAAAGCTGTCAGGGCATAATTTATTTATGTGTGCCGTAGTAGACCCTATCATCCCAAATTAGTTTAAAGAAAGATGTATTGGTATTTGGTTTATTTATACTTAGAAGATGTGTAGGCCTAGGTCTATTCATTATTCTACAGTCTTTATATTTGTTTATTTGCCGTAATTAGGTCACACAGACCAATTTACGGCACTCCAATTTTATTTCTTACCTGTGTTGACCGTGGATTTGCTACGGCCCGAGAGTAGGACTAGGAGGACGATGAGAGCTTTCTCAGTTTCTGCCTGACCTGATTCTCATTCCACCGTAATAACAATAATATTCGTGAGACACGTACAACAACTTTACAAACAAGTCAAATAATACAAAGTGTTTTAATTATTAATATCTACCTGTTATCATAATTCGTTGGACTCAAATAAAACACAAACACCGTTTTAAGAATCGTAATTATTAATATCTACCTGTTATCATAATTCGTTGTACTCAAATAAAACACAAACACCGTTTTAAGAATCGTTTTAATTTTTAATCTCAAAGTAATAAAGTAATATTTGAAAAAAACCCAACAAAACAACAAATACCGAAAGGTCCTCAACTTATCTATCCAGAGAAACTGAGTGGGGCGGGACAATTTTATGCTCGGTCGGGTGGTGTCAAAAAGTTTTTAGATCCCTGTATCATTGATGAAAATTAAGTGAATTTGGTAAAATTTGAATATATAAATGAAAATTTGAATTGCACTGAACCAAATACAAAAGGCAGGAGATGCTCTGAAAATACACCAAGAAGGGTTTAATTTTCATAAAAGACCATGCGCCCCCCTCCCAAAATTTTTTTTTTTGCATCGCTCCGCTCGCCAAATATATTTTTACACCACTCACCAAATCCTGGCTACATCCCTGTGTTTCAGTATGACCCTGCAGGCACATTTTCAAGTGTGTGCGCAGGCACACTCAACTTTTATAGAGCCCTGCTCATCAGATGTGATTATATCTTGTACAGGGCCGTATTATGCTTGCATGGATGAAAATGTCACTGACACCCTTGCTTACATCAGCAGTAAAAGGAGGGCATACTCTGGTCATTGTCCATCAAACTCATACAAATGCAATTTGTACATGTCAGTATGGTACATAGATAGACATATAATACTTATTTATTTATGGCAAATAAAAAAAAAATTGAATGAAAACTAATTTGGCGGCCCCTTTAATATTTGGGCCACTGATTGCAGGGTTTCAGATATCAACACATTTCATGATTTATGTAAGTTATGGCTCGTTGCATACAATGTTAATTTGACTTGATGTGTAATTTTTATGATGCTTAACATTATCTGATTTGTTCTCTTACAGAAAACTTTAAGTCCACCAAGCAGTCCTTCAACTCCAATGAAATTAACAGGTATGTTCAAATTATTTTAATTTATAGACTGAATACAATGTGGTCTCGGGCATTCTTGGAACTAAATGTTATAAATTGTTGTATGTGTTATAATAGTTACCAGTATGTAGGTTTAAAGGCACACTATTCAACACTAAACCTTCAGACTTTTGAAAAGCATGTTGGTCTAACAATATTTAACCTAAGTTATCTCCATATAAATTCTAAAGTTGACATCACTGTCTAGGTTTTTCATGATGTCATCTTTTTCTGTCTTAGGATGTCAGTAAGCAGAATAACTCATTTTTATCCATGAACATCAATGTCAAGATGACATGTAGATCTAAGCCAGGTTTTTTTGTTTTAATCGTAGATATTGTTATCTAAAGATCACATTTCAACTCTTATTTTTTGTTAAATTTAAATAAGGAAAATGACTAAAATAATCATTTCGGAACGAAATAGCAGATGGAAAATCAAATTTTATTCAGTTTTTTATAGAGAATAATTGAAGTTGTGGAAAATATCTGAAATTAGATTCTGTTTGTGCTTTATAGCAAAGATATAGTATTTCTTTATTTACCAGTAATGCATAAAAATAGTGAAGTAGCAGGGTTTGATGTTTGTCAATGACAGAGCTTTCAGATAATCAGTTGCTGTAAATTAGGCTTTTATTTTACTCGAAGGTGGAACAAGTGTAGGACTTTCAGATGTTAAAATAGGACTAAAATAGCAGATAACTTACATTTGTGTAACTTACATTTGTGTACCATACTCTGCAGTAAACTACACATAGCCTACATGTATATGGAGTTTATATACATGTATGTACAACTGCACAGGAATTTTGATGGGATGTTCTAACTTCGAGAACTTCACAGTTAAAGCGGCTGACAATTGGCTTCGTAGATGACAGTACCATCAGTCAGTTCACCGGGAAATTCAGAGCTCTCAGAAATGAAACATTACAAGAACATTGAAGTGTATTTCGATATACTTGTGGCAAACTCATGTTTCCATGTAAATAAAACTATAAGGAAAGGATGCAAAACGGCCATTTTAAAGTGTGTATGGGTCTATTTTTTGGAACCTTGAAATAGACAAAAATGGTTCTAAAAGTACATATTCACCTGTTAAGCGTGACGTTTTTAAAACGTTAACTACCCCCTATTGTGTAATTAATTGGACGAAGTGACGAAGAACTATGTACTATGTTCTAAGAATAGGTTGGGGAAAATAATATAATGTCCTACACATGCTGCGATCGTGGGGGAATTCCCAAGGGATTCCCCCAAGTGACGAACTATGTTCTAAGAATAGGTTGGGGAAAATACCTCCAAGGTGTTATATTACGCCCTACACACAGTGAGTGGCAGTTGTCCTGGGCGTTATATAACGACCTACGCACTTAACGGGTTAATATACATCAATATTGATTAAAACTGATCAATATTGAATTCTAATTCGTGTTTTTAATTTTGAATATTATAGAAAATATTGAGTTAGAGACTTCGCTCCTTTAAACAATAAAGTAGGCCAATGTATAGAGATCATTGTTATTTTAGGAATACATTAATCAAACATTCATCAAATACCCAACTTATTAAACCTTCCATAAATAAAATTTCTCAGAACAGATAAACATGCCATAAATTGATTCATCTGAAACTCAAGTGGTGGATATTGGAATAGACAAAGAGACTGGTTAATTGATCTAACCTGACTGATTAACCTAGTTGAATATTCATTATTGGTTGATTTGATAATGAGGCTATGGGGAATGGAATTGTGGGTATGGTTCAATGGCCTTGAAGGGTGACTTGACCTTTCACTTCCAGCAGGTAATCAGTCATTGATTCATTGAATGTCAGTTAGTTAGTTAACAACAATTTATTGAATACTGGGTATATTACAACTTACATAGTATACACAGGTATAACTACATTATTTTTGTTGTATGTAGGCTAATTCTTTATCTTAGCTTCTTTCCCCATTAGATTTTGTGTGAAATAAACTGAATATTTCCTGGTGAAATACATGTACACCACACAAAACAGTCAGACTCAGACCTTCCCTACACATTCAAGACATAGCTCATATACAATATGTACAGTTAGTTGAAAAATTGATTTTTTTGCTCATGTGGTGAACTCAATGCCAAGGTAATATTTCACACTTGACTAGTACCAGCATGTAATGAATGATAAAAATATTGAATATTGAGTTAAAGATTTTCTATTGTGAAACTGAAAGTATTATTGCTATCTGAACTGCATTAGGCCTACGTATGTACATCTTGTTGTCCTCTTTTGTCTTTGTCCCCTGTCAATGTCATCTCTTTAGACCTACGTGTTAAAATTAATGTCGTGATTTGTTGAGTGTTTTATATACACACGTTCATATCCAAATAATGTGGAAATTATTCATCATAGCATTAAATTCTTTGATGAGGGTTTAGGTTCTATAATGAAAATCGTCATTGAACAGTATTTGGATTATAATTTCATATGTTACCAGTTCATTTGAATTGTAATCAAGTCATAAGAACATTATGAGCTGGGTTTCTTTGAAAATTATAAGAATTGTCATTACTTTGGTTGGAGTTTGGTTTGAACTAATTCAGTTGAGGCCAGAGGTGTCAACTACTGTCAATGGAAAAACAGGAGTATTGCAAAGAAAATTAAAAAGCAGTAGAATTGAGAAATTTTTTTATTCATCAAAATCAAATTAAGGTCATTTTTAATTACCATTAATATAAATTTACTTACAGTCTTACATGTGTATAGGTACACAATTCATAACACTTTATATACCGGTACACGTTTTTGTCACTATGATATCACCAGTCCTCTCACTTTGTTTCGAATTCCAAATGTCAAAGTGTGTACATAGAACCTTGGTTTTCTGAACTACTATGCACTTCCTTTGCCAGTGGCCAGGCTCTACGTCTTTCACCACTTACAAACGGAACTTTCTCTGCCTACACTGGGAGCAAACCTGACATCTCCTGGTTAGCGAACTAACATCTTACTCACTAAACCACTGCATCTCCCCACTTTATATGCAGTTACACTATTGTTTTTGTGCTTGTATGTTTTTTATTCAACATCTTTGCCAATTCTAGTAGTTTTTTCTGAGTTTACATTGCTTCGTAAATCTGATAGTCCAGCATTCAGTATACTGATTATATTATTACACACATGTTTCTGTTCTTAAACATTCTGAAAGTTACATATATACTGCTTTCTCTTCATTGGAGTATTGTCAAAGTGGAAAATAATAAGACTTACTTGTTATCGTTTCACAAACAAACACATAGACCGTTGGTTTTACAAACAAACACATAGACCGTTGGTTTTTAGAATGTTTACGTTGTTACATGCATGTCTAAGTCAGATCTACATTTACTAACGATGATGTAAGATGATATTAGTGAAGCAAAACACTTGTATACATATATTTTATCAAGCATGTTTGTAATCATATATTCTGATATCATTATAATATGTTTTAGAAATTTTCTACCAATTGATTGTATCAATTCAGAGATAATACACACATGTATAATTTAGTGGTAAGGGTTATAATATTATTTATTGCTCATTTTTGCTGTCAATTGAAATCTTTGATTTATAGAGCATGTATACGAATCAAATTTTGCCTGTACTGTTTGTTATAACTTTATATAGCCTACCTGTGATAAACTATGGTCACCTGATTTTGATGCCAAAATAACAAGGGTTACCTAACTAACATATATATTTTCTCGGCTATACATTGTAGAAGCCTTCAAGTCTTACAGATAAGCGATATAATGAAGAAATTTCATGTAGTCGTTTTATGTCAATGAGACTCAAGTTATAGAATTATGCAATCTTTTTCCCAGGTCACTTGCAGTATATGTCTACGTGTGAGCAGAATTGGTGCCTTTTACTTGTTTTATGCCTCTGAATTCTATTTTATATGCCCATTTACACTAAATAGGAAATATTTTGTTATCTAGATACACTTCCAACATATTTTTTTTTTTTTTTGTAATAATCAAAAATTTGTGTTTTCTACTCCGATTGATTATTTAACGTTTGGTGGTTGCTCAGCTACCAATAAAAGACGGCGTCGTCTTGTAATACACACGAAGCATAGATCGAAGAAATTTCAATTCGTCATAACTCTGTAAATACTGAACGGAATTGAACCATTTATGGACTTATTTTCCTATTATAGGTTCAACCTTCAGAACAGTGTAGGGTTTCCTATAGTGCTAATTCTTCAATATTAACAGCTAATTAACACACTGTGATGTCATGCCTCTCAGTGATACTGATGGTATGGTAATGGCCAAGAGAATATTTACTGATAATTAGTTTGAGACCTGTCCAGCATGGTTCAGTCTGGGACCTGGGTGCATTATAAATTAACTATACTTGATCATACTAATATTATTTTATACGTCCACATTTATATGTGGTCACTCATTGCTTTCGCGGTGCTTTTTAAAATTTATATTTTGTTTACATTTGTGAGACAATGTCTATTAAATGTCAACGGTTTTCATTAACAAAGCATACATGTAATAAAAGATGCATTATGTAAGAGCTAAATCTGCCTACTTCTTATTCATGGCATTGGATTTCAAAATCACTATAAGGGGGGTTGGATGGCCGAATGGTTAGCATGTGCGCGCTGTATCATAAAGCCTGTCATTGAGTCAACTGGAGTGGTTTTGAATCCCCGGTTGTACGTGACAAGGAGTAGGGTTGCCGGTCCAACCTCGTGGGTTTTCTCCAGGTCCTCTGGTTTCCTGCCACTGCTAAAGACCCCTACGAGCAAGCGAATTATTGAAATAAAATTAAACCATATGTTAGTCCCGAAAAGACCTAGGTTGTGTCGAGTGGACTAAACCTCATTTCTCTCTCTCTCTCAAAATCATCATAAACAAGATTCTTGTAGTCTATTGGAATTCACTTTTCTTATCTTAAACTTTTGCATTTAAAGAAACATTTATTGTACTAAAATTAATTATGGCCCAATTTTCGAAGAAAATAGCCCTTATCTTCTTTGAGTGAATTTTATCAATTGACAATTGTTTTGTTTTTGTGTTTATAGCCCTAAATATAGTATGTCTGACATAACAGAAGTGAATAAATATATAGTTTAAATCATTAAGATGATTGTTCTGCGATTGTCATCAACCAATTAAACAGCCATGCAAAAATTACTTCTGTATTAATAAAAACATTTCCTACCTGATCACATGGTTGGTTTCTACTTCAATTCTCAATACAAACTTTTGTTGTTATTTAAATTAGATATTTCAAAATTCCCACTGAATAGGCCTATTGACAAGTTCAGACTTTATATTTATTTCAATATGGCCGCCATGACAGACCTATAATCTACTTGACAACAGCAGGAAGGATATATTAATATATGTTGCTATATTTAGCCAGTATTAATAATAAACATATTAATTTGATTACCCAGGGGTTTTATCAGGTAGATAAGATAATGAAATAAATTATTTTAATAAGGCAGACCCTGACAAGGTAAGATAGAATAACTGATTTATATCTGTGAATGTCAAAATCTATTTCATAATGTATTCATTTATGCAGTTTCTGAAATGATATAATTTTGAGGTTAGAATATCATTTGAGCGTCGATAGACTATTGAATATAATCTAAATCAAGCTATTTTCACTAGACAGTCTTACCCAAACTTGTTTAAAATTCAATTGATTAAGATAAAAGATTAAAATTGTCTACTGTCATTACAGTTGTTATTTGGTACAGTGCAATGTTTCTTATAAAACTCCACGTTGCTTTATATAAGTCCATGACGAGATGTAAATAAAGCCACAATGAAGAATAATATGTCCATTTATATAATGCAAAATCGACAAAACATGCTTATAGCACATATAAAAACTATATACAAAATAACAATTACAATTTCTGATAATTACTCATGGATAGTTATTGCCCTTCATTATGTCAATGCTCTGTTTAAAAAGATTTTGTTTTTTTATTTATCTAAATATTCACAATACGACAACATTCATGGACAGCTTGGATGTCTGTGGGTGTATTTTGTATTTTTGAACACATCATCAGCAGTATTGTCATGGGCTCCCACATATCTTTTTGTTGAACTCATTCTTAAATTAAAAATAAAAATGGTTGGAGTGCCCAAGTTTAGATTTGTCGTTGATTCCATAAAGTAGTTAGGTTTTAGAACGTTAAATACTGTGTAATTCAACATGGCGCCCGAGGGGTTTGATATATAAATGTACGAATTAGTACCAAATAGTTTATTTATATGGGAATCAAGGTTTGGACTATGCCTTGGAAATCGTCAGGAGCCGCCGATATTTGTCTCTCTTTTGTGGACTGAGGTAAGATTGTCTGTTGTATTAACTGGACGGGTAGGCCTGTCATTCTTCGGTTATGTATCTTTGTTGAATGAGCAGCTTCTTATCAACCAGATCGGCTCTGGACCGGTTTGATTCTACAGTCTCTCTTGTCTATATATATACTATCCCGTTAAGAATTATGACAAGTAACAATGTTACAAACCAACCAAAGGCATCCTAGTTAGCTAAATTATGGACACTAGCACTTCAATCTAAACGATAAGTTGGAAAACTTCTATACAACCCCGTTAAGCGAGCTACTGATACCGGTAACAAATTCGCAAACCCCGCCAAGAGGCCAACCCTGGTAACCCTACCAATTAGTAACCATGGAAACCCCACAGGGTTTCCGAATAGTATAATTAAAAATGCCCGCCACGTGAGTCCAATCAGTCTGAAGAGTTCAATACGAACGAAACTATTCACTGACACTTGGGATAACCAGGTCTTCAAGCCACTCTTATCTCTTATATCATTCTTAAATTAAAAAAAATCTCTTTGTGAAAATGGAAAAAAAGTCTGGTTCCTTGTGCAACAAGTTTTTATACGCCCACATTGAAATGTGGTCGTATATTGTCGTAGCCCCCGTCCGTCCGTCCGTCCGTCGGTCCGGCGTCCACAATTGCTTGTGGACGCTCTAGGGGCTAAAGTTAATATCCGATTGACTTTAAATTTATATACAGTGTTTAAAGCCATGAGACGAAGAAGCCTATTGATTTTCAGCGATTTCCGATAATTACTGCCAGAGTTATGGCCCTTGATCACTTCAAAAAATCTTGTGGACGCTCTAGAGGCCAAAGTTAATATCCGATTGACTTTAAATTTATACACAGTGTTTAAGGTCATGAGACGAAGAAGCCTATTGATTTTCAGCGATTTCCGATAATTACTGCCAGAGTTATGGCCCTTGATCACTTCAAAAAATCTTGTGGAGGCTCTAGAGGCCAAAGTTAATATCCGATTGACTTTAAATTTATTCACAGTGTTTAAGGTCATGAGACGAAAAAGCCTATTGATTTTCAGCGATTTCCTATAATTACTGCCAGAGTTATGGCCCTTGATCACTTCAAAAAATCTTGTGGACGCTCCAGAGGCCAAAGTTAATATCCGATTGACTTCAGATTGATACACAGTGTTTATGATCTCTTGAGACGAACAAATATATTGATTTTCAATGAATTTGGAACAGCTAAATCCATGATACAGTATTAAAAGTTTTGTATACAAAACGTTAGCATGGGGCAGAATTTTATAAAAACCAAACAAATTCTAATGGTTTTCTGAGTTGTTGTATTATAAATGTTTCATTACCGAAAAAAGTAAAAATATGCGACAACTCTTGTTGACTGCCCGGACGATTTAGCTGCTGTGGGCGTATGTTTCGTTGCCTGGCAACCTATCTTTAGGTATTGTAATCTGTTTGTAATATTATTGTCACATTGTCTTAGTCTAGAAATGACCTGCAGTTTTTTATTCTTGTTTTTGTGTTAATATGAAACAACTTATATTGGAGTAAAATTGGATTGTGTTGGTCTTTAAAAACAAATTGTGTCAGTATCAAAATAACTTGTCATACGTCTCAAACTGATTTTATTTTTGTGCTTGTTGAAACATTATGCAAAGAATTATGGGTAATTCCTTTCTACTTAGAACAATCTATATGTTTAACAAACCAGTGATTGTATAACATATAAATTGTCTTGTATTTTTTATACATTTCATTATATTCCCTTAACCTTGTCAGTCTGTCATTGAAATGAATTCATTTGAAATAAAATAAATTTTATTCCTTTACATACTGTCTGCTTGTTTCTATAATCTTTACAACATGTTATTACCAACATTCAGTAATTTACGATTTACCGGTAACAGATATAAAAATAGATTTATTTCTTACATTTAGGTCATAAAAAGTTTTAAGATTAGTGAGCTTTCTAACATTATAAATGATAAATATTATAAATATATTACGCCTTGTTTGATAAATCACCTTGATGTAAGAAAATAACCAATAGTCTTGATTCTTGTGCTTTCTTCGTCTGGAACTATTCTTGTGCAGATGTGTGACATTCACTGACAACCTTTATGCTAATTTTTCTTCTCTTCCCACGTAACTCTTGCAGTAGCAAAATGCTTTGAAACAAACAGATAATGGAGATATCGAAGAATGCATTAAGAACACTTTATCCAATGGCATATCATGAATTTATTCATGTGAAAAACAGGATTTCACTGTATAATTTGTGAAAAATAGAAAAGCACTAGAGCAATTAACGTTGCTGTTAATAGATTATCCAGTTATTTATTAATAAAAATCAACCTGTAAACACACAGTCACGTGATGATAATGATAATATTGGTGTGATTTGCTAGGCTTGCTGTATGTAGAAGTATTATGGACCAGGGACCATAAGCTTGTTAGATGGCCTACATATTGTGACAGGCTAGCTATAGCACATGTAAACCTATCCATATCCTACAACTGGTTCTACATACAGCTTGAGTAGTGAGAGCAAGCCAGCAAAACAACTCTAGCCATGCTATTAGATGTAAACCAGTATTGGTGAATAGGCCTGGCTAGCTACATATCTCTTCATATACAAGCCAAGGCTAGTAATATACTCGGAATACTATAGTGTGTTTATCTATCGACAGCCGGAGTTTGGGGGTTTAAGAGTGCAAGGACGAACGGATTAGAGCGTTAGATCAATAAGCCAAACCTTTCACCATGAGTAAAAAGCGAAAGTTGAGTTTGAGGTTGAGAATTCCGATCAGTAAGTAACCTTATTTGCATCTCATTAAAAATCTGGTGGTTTGTTTGTGTACATTTGGAGGTCAGCATTCAAGGCTATTTGCCAAAAGATGTAGGCCCCTGTTATTACATGATAATATATTTATATTACATTATTACACATGATTGACATCTTATCTGCTCGTCTTATTTATGCCTGCTGTTTTTGTGTAGGATGTATTCAGTGATGAAAGTCAGAAGTACAGTAGTAATTATTGCAAAAAAAATGTCTGCTAATCTTTTCTAATTAATAGACTGGAGACCCGATTTTTTTTCTTTCTTTAAATGTGTTTATTTCTATAAAACCACCTCCGTGATATGTCGTTTTTTTTAATTAATTTTATATAAACATGACGACTTAGTCAGTTATATGATCTATATATATAGATTTCTATCTGTATTAGAAAAAAAACCCAGCCTGCTGATTAATCAATAGATCAGGATATATTTAAGGTCAATTGACGTAATGATAAGGAAATCACCAAAGAAAATAGTTTTCGCTTTAAGATTTTACTAATTAGATTAAAATTCTGTCAGTTCGGTGGTTTGAGACCTGAATATAGCAGCTCTAGTATGCTTTGATAATATCATTAATTATACACTGTCAGATTAAATCTCTGGTGATTTGAGTCAGGTATTGGAGAAAATCCGGTTGTGTTTTTGATGCGATTGAAAATATAATCATCTAATTAATAGTTACATCCTTGCATGCATCTTCCATCATGAGAATATAGATATCATTGTATCTGATTAAATCAATGTATTATTTTATATACTTACAACAATGTTTCCACCCACCCACCCGTGAGACAATCTACAATAACAATTCATATCAGTTTAATCACCATATATATAAATATTTATAAAATTCTCAGATTTGTTGTGATGCATACTTGGAATTAAAACATTAGTTTTGTTTTTTTAGTCAGCTTAGAACAATAAACATTGAACCATGTGGTTACTGATCCTGCTGGCTTGGATGCAATTTCCTGTAACTGTTTAATGGCTTTATGATAATAGAGGCAGGTTTTCTTTCATCAAGAAATATTAATTCCTTGATACATTCTTTTGATTTGATAGTTGTCTTATAGCTTACAATGTCTGTGGGGGTTATTTTGGGGGTTTATAGTTAACTGTACCCCATCTTCATTACTACCATCGAGAAGAAAAGTAGGACATTAGTCCCCATTTCATTT